GATCTAAGCCATCAAATGCCTTTGCAAAGTCCAGGTAGATGATATCGACTTTTACTCCATCATCAACAGCTTTAGTCCAGCTATTACTTGCAATTAATAGATTCGTATTACACGAATGCTTTTGACGAAAGCCATGTTGCTCTGGGGCTATTAAGTTGTGGCTTCCCGGATACAGTGCATCTGCAATGATTGCTTCCATCACTTTGATAGTACGGAAGTAATGTTATTGAACGGTATTTGGCAGGATCAGTGCGGTTACCTCCTTTATGGATAGGAGTGATGACCTCTCGCTCCCATACTGGTGGAATATGGTTCTCTTCTAGACATCACTGATAGAAAACAGCCAGTGGTTCTGCTAGATCACTAGTTACCACCTGCAGAACCTTTGGTCGGATGTTGTCGACTCCAGGAGAACTGTTGATACACAAGGATAACAACTTCTTCAACACAGCTTCCGCAGTGATGGTGATGTTGTCTAAACCCGATGGTGGAGAAATATGAGGAGAATGTTTGGGCTCGTTACGTGCTGGAAAGTTTGGGAGTAATGAAGCCGTAGGAGATCAGCTGCTTCCATTGCTGATCGCGTGCACCCATCCGCCGGAACTAGTGCTGGAATCCCCCGCTTCACCTTTCGAAGGCCGTTAACGTTCCTGTACAGAAGTTTGCGGCTCGTGCAGGATCACTTCATTAACTCCTGCTGTTGCGTGACCTTGTCTTCGCGGATAAGTTACACACAAAAGTTACAATGTGTCATGTATGCAGTCCAGGTTTCGGCATTCGAGCAGTCCTGGTGATCTCGCCATGCCAAATCCCTCCGGGGCATACATTTAGGTGTTCTGCTCTTCAGGAATAACTTTTGATTGTTTTTGGGTTGGAAGGACTTCTGTTCCGATGCGTGCGCAACCAATGTACTTAACGCCCTTGTAAAGGTTTCCTAGGCAAGATGTGGAGGGCATTCGGTTAAGGAAGTCCAAGACGTATCCCTAACAATCTTAGATAACACATTGTAGTGCGTGACAGTATGCACTTTATCATCCTACTTTCCAGGGTACTCCGCATAGCATATATAGTCAAAGAGTAGAGTAACATGATCACTACCACCCAGTGATGTGCTTGTAACTATCCCATCAACCATGAGTTCTTCGTTAGTTAGCACAAGATCCAGTATCGACGACTTGTTGGCAATCTCAAGAGAGAATGTGAGATTAAGAATATTTACTCCCGGGTAGGTTGAGAGATATAATGTTACGAACCATTCCTCTGAATACACGAGAAGCGATTCCGGAACTCAAACTGTGTTGTCCAGGCGATTGTGCTTTGACTTCAATTTCGCCAAAGTCCGGTCTGCTTTTGTCAACCTGGAACACTTGTGGTGTCGTCGGGATGTCTCCCTCTTGGTTGAGGGTTGTGTTTACAATGCCACAGTTCGGGTGGTGTTGCCATATGGCAACGAGTCATGGCCAGTTCGCGTAGATGACATGCGCTAGCTCACGGCCTTCGATACTGGGTGCTTGAGGAGAATTACTCGTGTGTGGTGGCAACAACCTATCTGCAACGGTGAAGTCAGACGTCGTGTCTTATGGAATGTGAGTATTCACTTCAACAAGCTGGTTTTACTGTGCTAGTTAAGATGGCCCGTCCACGTCCCGTGTATGCCAGCTGAGCATTTGCCCTATCGCGCTCTGTTCGCTCGTGCACGACTCGATTGGAAGAGACCATGTGACGGTCAACCATTCACTTGGGGACAGTATATGAAATCATTGACTTTACGTCTTGTTACCGTTAAATCTACCCGCCTGCCTGGTTGGGGACCTAATGACCAAGATTGCCGATGGCTCGCAACCAAAACCAGTGGATGGTCAGTGTACATACTTGTTTTGGTTCAGATGCTTAACGCTTAATAAGTAAAAAATGAAAAAGAACCAAAAAATAGCGAAAATTTTTCCTTTTTCTTCACTACGACACAATAGCTGAAGTTTGTTGCTCACCTTCAATTAATGTGCTATACTGATGATGCAGTGGCGATTCCGCCACCGTCATCCGCTGAGTTTCATGGCTTTGTCTGGCTCTGTATTGATGCTACTACTCGACTAATATTAGGAAATATTCCTTCATCTACTTCAAATGCTCTTGGTACCTGTATATTTATTTCGCGATTTTTCAAGTCAGAAAATGTTTGCATACAATTACTCTTGCTTCCTGCCCACCCAAACCATGATATGTTCAGAATTTAGCAAAATCGACATCATCAACCTCACATTCAAGCGGCGATGGCTCTTAGGAACAGCGATTGAAAAGCAAGCCATTAGACACGCCATCTAGCGGCACCACGGTGCAGGCTTGTGTTCATATTTTAGTTAATAACTTGAAATTGTCTAATTTACTTTGAAATCACTGATGATTTGTCCCTATTGGCTGATCCTTAGTGATGGAGTAGTTAGATTTTAGAGATTTTGTTCGTGATTTCGTTACGTGACTGAACGATGATCCAATCCTTGTACTTATCTTTATCCATCGTAATATCCTATTCTACCCATTTAGTGTTACTTACCTCCAGTTTGTAAAAGCACTACGGTTTCACGGGTGATGCGTGCATGCATTATCGGACTCCGCGTCACTTGACCTCACACATCCGGTTCTAGTGTGCTGTACCTTTAAGCCACTTTGATTAATAAATAAGTGATATAATTCCCGACATTATGAGACGCATTCCAACTGGGTAGTCTGTTTCATTTGTACAACAAGATAGCATAAAACAGATGATCGTTTGTTACCTGACGCAGTTCGTAAAAAATTTTTGGGGTCGAGAATCAGTAAAATTTAATAAAGTGACCTAGAATTTGGCAATACTGTTGTATACAGATGTAGCCAGATTTTCTTATGTGGTAATGCAGTCGTCTGTGTAATTGTTTCCATACGTGGTAGTAGTTTAAATGATACCAACCTTACTTTCAAGTCCCTTCTTACTGTATACCCGCGTGGCTTAAATAAAATATGCCATCGCCGCTTTTACTAATCTGCAGGACTGTTATTATATGCGTATAGTATGGGGACTCCAACCACTTTGTACTGTTTAGCTCTTTCAATTCAGGTACTTTTATTGCACGCCAGTGAGTCTGCGCCAATTCGCCTTGCACAGATGTACTGGTTATTAAGAAGATTTCCTTTTGTTAGCTTGCTGATGACCACCAATGAAATAAGAGACAAAAATGTATAATAAACTTCACCATCAATGACAACAACGGTGGTTATCCCACAGTCATGGCGTACCTCTGCACAATGCGAGACAGCACTATAGCTTAGTAAATGAAATTGCATTGTGATCACAAAACAGGTAACTGGTCGATTTATATGAGAACAAGGTGCTGCCGAATTCTCAGATTGGTGATTGCCAACCGGTCTCCTTCAAACCCTGTTGAAATCATTGGTTCTTGATCCATCCCAGGAATATTTCAGGATGTCAGATTTTCTATTTAGTTCATCAACTGCACGCATGCGAAAAGTACAGAATTTCATATGCTTTAGGTGTGTGACCCTACCTGCTCAAATAAGCCAAATAACGGTGTTGCTGATGGCATTACAGACACGATGTTTTCGTTTTAAATGCATTTGCAGTCGTTTCAAGTTCCTCTACGCTGCACGCACAGAAATTACTCTAAACCACTAGCATTTTCTACTTTGGCGTAGGCAGCCATCAAGTCCTTAAAGTACAAGAACGTTTTCAGCGGATTCGTATTCATATGAGTGCCATTTTGTTAGCGTTTTAGCATTTAGCATTTTTACATTTAGCATTTTTACAACTTTAGTCCTGTTTTTTATGCATCAGTTATGCTCATTTTTGTACCGTTCCCTTTTCTTGTTTTACTTTGACACTTCACCGCGATGTTTCCATGACAGTCGACATTTTAGCGCGTCCGACTGGCTAGTATTGACAGGTATATAAACACCGTTCTGCTTTTATTTTGATTCTGCCGTCTTCTTGCACATTTTATTGTTGTGGTTCGCAATTTAACCTTTATGACCTGTGGAGGAAGGCGTTCAGTCGGGAGCTATGACCTCACATGCGGTAGCACCGTTACTAGACAAACACCTCATGCGTACAAGCTGAACTTCTCTTGTGCACGAAACTCTTCCCTCGTTCATAAAAAATGCAGTTTGCGTGAATATTATCTGATGGTATTGTAGTATCTTTTTACACTTGGAGACCTCATTACAGGGTCTGCACCCAATGGTGTTTAATAACGTGTAGTGATGTGTGTTTCGTCAATGTGTTTCGGCTAACGAGGGTATCTGTATTTACATTCAAGGCTAAAAGTTTCATACCTTGGTTAGGCACTCACAAGCTATAATCCCTCATTGCATCTGGTGGTGTAAAGGAAATGCTGGATCGCGCACCCAAACATACCGACTGCTTACGTTACGGTGGTCTTCCTTCCTTCACCCGATCAGACGTGTATTCTTGTTTACTGTTGCTAATCCTCTCAGCACGCTTAGAGTTACCTCCATTAAGGCTATTTTTGTTTAACTATATTACCCATACACCAGCTCACAATACCTAACGTTTGGAATCGTTAAATTGTAAGTGGAATCGTGTGACTTTGAGAACATTAGCATTGAAAGTAAGTCAGCATCAGAAAAGCGACTGAGTTTGCTAGACAGTTGATTCTTCGATCTTGTCCACCCAAAACCTACTTGCAAGCACTTTGTGAGTGATCCACCGCAAACTGTTACCTTAACAGCTGATAGGAATGGTTCGCCATACGACACTGCCGTTTTGAGAACACCCGGCTTTCTAACCCTTGACGAAGAGCATCTGATTAGCGGCTAGTTTGGATAACTGATCCAGTCATTCGTTCCACCCTATTTCGCTTATTGTACCTTATCCTAAACAGTGTGCAACTTTGTCACAAAAACTTGGCAAACTAAGTACGCACTTTCGTCAATTTACAAACATTGTTCAATGTGTTCCCCGCTGTCCACCCTATCACGCGCAACCGCAGCGTGGGAAGGTAGATGTGAACACGAGGAGTACTGCTCATCACCGCAAAACTCCGGCATTCTATCGACTGGCTTATCCGTCTATAATTTTATGCACGCTGTTTTCGAATGGACTCCGAACGTACCAAGGTGGTTGCAGTCATCGATTGACTGGTGCTGTCAGAGTAATGTGTGGTGCCCAGAAATGCATCCTTACGGATTATCCACATGAGGATTCCATCAGCCGTATTCACCCAACTGAATTAAACAGGTAATATAGTTCTGTTACTGGATGTTTGGAACGTTACGTGTTTTGTTTCAGTGTACGTTTACACTATCCTGAGCAATGCAGCCCACGAGAGATCTTCTGTGTTTAACTGTTGTCGATTAGTCGTGCGAGAAAGAATCGATTTTTGCAGCTACAAAAGTAGTGTGAGCAAGTTATATCAGTCGGTCATTTTTCTTCATCTTACTCCTACGGAGGACCTTGACACACAGTTTGACTGGAGGAAATCTGGGTGTTAATACTTGCTTATGAATCTAATTTCAAATCTTGCAGTCACGATTTCCTTGTGTATACCTGGGACTCAGAGGTCCAACGCAAAACTCAACGAATGTAACCCACAATGTTTCTGTTGCATGGATGCCATTTCTATTTGGAAATTAACGGGATTTGATTATCATTCGTTCGATAATTGAACATGGATTTCGTTGTGGTGACATCCAGCACTCTACGCTGTCTTGTATCACACTCAATGTGCTTTTTCTGGTTGAAATCGGAATTTCGATGGTCCGCTTCATTGTGTTTTTCAAGGTGGTATCCGCATTATAGTACCTTTACTAACGTGCAAAAGCTTCTCGGGCACAACTTCAACCATCATCCAGTGGGTATTTGAGTCCAAAAGCATTGTAAAAACGGTGCAATTTGTCACTAAACCAAGGAGACCAAATGATACTACTTTTTGAAGAGGTACCGGATTTGCAACTGCCCCAGGTGTCACTGTACATATCGAATTCAGTGAAACAGCTTTCAACCATCCATTTAACGTCCCAAAGGGAAAAGCAAAAACATACTGGACTACCTTGTCAATGTGATTATAGCTTGTTAGGTTACTAACAAGGTACATGCAGCGTCAGTTTGAATCTACCTGTTTGATTTCCAGTCAACTTACTCAACTGAAAGAGAGTGATTGTTTAAGCACCTTTTTCGATCTGGATCCAGCATGGTAGAGTGTGACAAGGTTACCGCTCACCTGTTACCAATGTTTAGTATGATAGCTGCTGATGAGAAAAGTATTGTAGTGATAGATATCTATTGTGCCTTTTATTTAAGCATCGGGTATTCACCGAATACAGTTCGCTTTTCCTTTGTGTAATTCTATGCGCTTAATTAAGAATATCCGCTTGCACAACGTCGGAGCTTTACAAATGCCAGAGTGTTCTCCAGGGAATCATACTTAGGCACGCAGAATAAACTAGTCACATAAACAAGTATTCACGTTTCGAATGTCACAAGATTACTAGTGGCGCATCTTAACGAAGTATGCACTTATTGAATCTGTTTGAATCTAGCTTTCCGCTGTGTTTTCTTGATGACGTCTAAAGTCTTTCGTGTTACTGCATATAGATTGAAATCTACTGTTCTCTCATACGATTCCTGAATGCAAATCTTTTACTACAACACAATTTGTGTGCCATATGTAAAGTTTTCTGCATCCTACGTTCCGCTGACAAAATCCACCACCTTTGTTTATCACGGACTAACTGATAAAACAACAACATGGACCTTCTCACTATGATTGTGAAGGAAAATGAAGGGAACGGTTATTGATTCTAATGATGAACAAGCGGCGTCGTCCTCTAGTCTGTTTAGGGTATGCACAGAGATTGCATGTTTACGATCAAATGATGCCTACCAAGTACAGTGATAGCTAGTGTTTTTCGACTCGCCAGAACCTGTGAGTGTGTATGGTAGAATCACGCTGTCGCTCACGTCATTCTACCCAAATGCCACATTTGTCCACCTGCTGGAGCTAATGGGGAACTCAGGAATTCAACGGTGCATGGCATTAAACTTGAGCTGTAGGTTTCCTAGTTTTCTCTCGTCAATAAACCTGTAGCTCGACTGTGTTGTTGATGAACAGCTAGAATGAGTCTATCTTCCACCTGTTTTCTGGACTCACTGGGTAACAGATTGGGCAGACGAGTTCCTGCAGCTGGTATATGTTTTCACGATTTACCGTGGACGTTCTATTTACGATAGCCATTCGCGAGGCTAAATGGTTTCTACAGCCTGTTTCATTTTATACACGATATGCGAAACTTCAGTGAAATTCTGTCCACCTTCATGTGACCTCCTAGTTTCAGTCGTTGTTAGTCTCGCTTGGAGACACACCGTTTAAAATAATGGTCTCACATAGAGTTGTATATGTTCCGTTTCACTTCACATACACATATCATTTGAAAAATCACTCGCTATCCAGCAGTTATGTTAATTGAAATTTGAAATCGCAAATTACTTTCTATGAGTTCTTTTGGACAGAAATACTCTCACGTGCATCATGTCGCCGACGTGGTCCGGCTCACATGACATCTGTGAATCAGATCGATCTTGAGTATTAGGTTGAGCTGGCGTACAGTCTACAAGCTCATTAAACGAAAGGATTCATTGCACTTCGAGCTATGTTTCTACTCATAAAACGGTAGATTTCTCTAATTTTCACCCACATGTGATTAAGCCATCTGTCCACCGAAGCGAAATATTCACACTTCAGATCGTTCCAAAAGTGGTTCACTACAGAAGAATAGTTGAATTAACAATATGGCAATTCACACAGACCATTGTCACAACCAAACGATATTGTTGACGTACTCCCTCCGTTCAACGCGTCGGGAGATTAGGATTGGTGTATGGAACAGGAGCTTGGCCGTCACGCATCGAGGACGTCTGGAGATTGCTCATGTCCCACCACGGATGCCTGCGGAGTGTTGCTCACATGCGGTGGCACAACCGGAATAGATGCTGTTGACTTTCGCTGTCTGTTGTTTGGCGACAATCCCTCCGTGTCGAGATTTTATCGAAATCGCATCGCATTCGATTAGCTGTTCAGCATGATTACTAGCCTATTGCCTTCTCATATTTATTTGCCAAAACCCACCAGGATTGAGATTCCCTAGGTGTCGAATTGGCACGTGGGAATGTGGCGTGAAGAAGCTTATCTGAAGCATGAGTCAGGTTAACATTTGCCATCCTCCTGGCCTGAAGATAGGCTAATTAATATATACATGTCCATTTGGACATGACAGTCACGAAGTCAACGGAATCTTCGCCTTCGTTCCGTTACGAACTTTGAGTATACCATCTGGGAATTTTACCGCCCACGCACTTCTCCTAAATTAGTGGCATTGTGTGTGTGTTAACGACATGAGTCAACTGGAGTAGAACCATCACACACACACACACACACACACACACACACACACAACTATACACGTTAGCTAGAGGTGGGAAACACCTCAACTACTGTGCCGCAATACATAAAAGAAAAAGAGGGAATAAAATGCAACAGGTGCAAGCCAGCTGAACTACCGGTAACAGATGAGCATCGTTCCGGTAAGCTACCTGCCGGCTACTATGCACCAGAAATACAAATAATGATAATAATAATAATTTACCATACAAGATTATAAAATGCTAATTAATTAGATCGTGGTTGGAGGAGGAAGCTAAAAGGAATGATGAGGGACAAAGAGATTCACAGCGCGAACCCCACTGAGGTCGACTCCAAGCCATATCAGCAAGTGTATCCAGCCAAATGTATTCACCGTCTTTCGGACCGCAACCAGGGAGCCCTGAAGCTCCAACCGAGGCCAGCTCCGAAGTGATGGCCTTCATTCCTCTCGACCAAGTAATCGCTTGGCCACCTCTCCTCTTCTTCCATCCATACCCCCGGCGCGCAAACAACGCACGTCGCGGTTGGCTGGCATGCGTCACACATGGCCGAGCCATCGTAGCCTGGTGCGTGAAGTGACGGCGCTGAGCGGTTCAGTTCCTTTTCCTGCGCCGTAAACAAGGCGTCGAACACGCTCATTGCTCACGCGGTGTTCCCACCAGATGTGAGCTAAATTGCGAAGGCACCGGTGGTCGAACGTAACTAGCCTCTTTATGTCCGCTGATCTAAGGGGCCAGTAGAACCATCACGCATTGGTGTGCAGCTTTAGGTAGATTAACTAATAAATCCAACACCTCAGGATAATCATCTAGTGTTACCATTGCGTTTGCATCGAACTGACACAAACATCGGTTTTTGGTGTCTGCCCAGGTCTACTCGTGTGAATTCAGCAGTTTTGAGGCCCTGAAGCTCTTGTGCCCCGGTCTGAGTTCTCTCTCTCCCGAAGTTCTCTTTCTGTTCTTCGTCCAAGTGATGTGTGTTTTCTTAAACTTACTCCACACTCGGCCGGTGGCCGGGTGGTCTGCACGCCTGGCTTGTAATCATAAGGTCACCGGTAAGAATCCAGATAAGGGTAGGCGTCCTCGCGGCATACTCAGTCAGCGCGCGACTAGTATTGGTCGCACAGCAGCGAAGCGCCGTTACGGCGTGCAGTTGACACATTATTATTTTATTAAACTGCACACTCTATGGTTATTGCATTATAGTGCCGCGGCCACTTCGTAAGGGAAATTCACATTGATTTTAGGGCTAGTCGTACATATGCATACCTCGCAGCTGTGTACCCTTGTGCATCAGAAAATTTCGTGGTACATTTGAACTTGCCCTTTTATTGCTTCAGCCCGACTGGGGCTGCTGCGGCTTGGTGCCGTCGTATTCTACTCTCCTTTGTTAGCGATAACACGGTTTGCCGATTGCCGAACAGGACAGAATCCCAAGAGTCTTCGCTAAGCGGAAAGCAAAGTTTTATATACTGGCACCTTGGCATGTTGCAGATCGAATATGGCACGTCACGAGAAACATGCATCGCTTCATTTTTACGCTTAATGGGTAGATGCGTATCCAGACTGGACGTTTATTTATGCAAACTCAGGATAACAGAAAAACTAGGGCAGTCTGATTTTCTTCGCAGTCTTCTCTGTTGTATAGGAACATAGTTTCACGAAAGCACAATATAGATCAAAATTTTGCAGTAAGATCACTGTCTAAGCCAAATTCAAATAAGTTCAACTAAAAATTTCCCTATTGTCTCACAGCTTTGTACAACAGATTTCATAGTTCTCCAAGACACTGTCTTGTGTTCGCAATTAGTGTTCTCGATCAGTTGCACTATTATAGCAGTAGTGCTTTTGGATCATTGCATTTTTGTTGTGGATGTTTGACAAGTAACAAAGTGACACTGTTGGTTATGCGGAACTCTTTTCGTCGACCTACCACAGACCCGTGTGGATTCACATTGCAAACCACCTTTGGATCCGAATCATTCAAAGTATACAATTCTTTTCATGACAACGGTTGCAAAAGTTGACATGTGACGGATGGCCAATCGGCCGATACTACTTGACTAGGTCAGTGTGTTTCTGCTTGAGGTGTTCCATAGCTAACGTATATGATGATGTCGTTTACTGTTAGAGGTGAGTGATGAAAAGAGCAACCATACTGATGTTAGCACCTTGAATTTGTACCCTATCTTGACAACGAACATGAGTATATGGTATCTGGATACCGCTGTTGCCACCATGAACCACTTCTTTATGTCAGATAGAGGCAAGACTACAAATAGCATGTTGTAGAACAAGCCTTACATTAATCTAAACGACCTCTGAACGGAGTGAAAGGAACCAAAGTAAAAAACATTTGCTGTGCAGACCGTAGTCTGGCGTGCGTTCCTGACCACTTGTTCAAAATGGCTGAGGTGTTCAACGTTTCGGATCGATGCGATTCAGTTCTGAGAATGTCGACTGGGTCACTCCATTTGGCGCTGAACTGCAGCGCACGCGGGGGCATGGGAACCACATTTATTCGCAGTCGAACAAAAATGGAACCTTTGTTGTAACGCCACTGGACACGGCGCATGCTAACGGTAGAAGGGAAAAGTCCATTACATGCTTCACAGTTTGGATGTAGAAAACCAAGTTCTCCGGCACACCCTTACATTGGACAAACGATGACAACACGCGATAACATGGGCTCAAGTTTAGCTGATCAGCGACACCCCAACTAACTCGTCTCAGTACAGCTGAGTGGTTCTACTTCTTTAATATTGTGCACCGGTCGACGACTTCCTTTGTCTTTGCTTTCCTTCCGTTTGTGGTAGTCTGCTTCTTGAGGCAACTCTTGGTACTGTATCAGGCAAACCACTATTATTTTAATCATCAAACAGCCATCAAAGACAAACAGTGTATGAGGAGGAATGCCGGGGTCACCAACGGAAACAGAAGAAACTGATGTTAACGTTCTTGTGCACTTTTCGGCACTTTCCCATGCACCGCCTTCGTGCTGTGCTATCGGTGTGGTTTGCAACTGCGCACGTACAAAGTGGACCCCCGAATTTCTTGGTCAAAATTGGGAATTTTGCCGAATTATGGCTGCGTATACATACCTAGGGTGCATTCTTCTCTGTCATGCTGATCGGGTTTTACAAGAATGAATGTGATTGATGAGTTTAGTCTGCCTCCTTTCTGATTACTTGTTTTTCAACCATACCTTACTTTATTTACAAACAGCGAAAATAGCTACTCGAGAAAGGCCGATCGGGTGATAATGTATTCTATTGCTCATGACCTACCCAGCCGCGTCTATAATCATTGTTGCGCTTCTGTTCCAAGATGTGGCGATTTCCGTTATTCGAACGCGGATGAATATAATTCTTCGCTAGTCTGACCTCATTCTAAGACTCTACCATCACAGTCACATGATTTCACTGCTTTTCATAGAATACATTATCCAGTGTGTACCATTTCAACTACAGTTTGGTATTGAATTAAACTGCAACAGGCGTGTAGTACACTCGATTGACATTAGTCGGTAGAGATATACCAGTCACTTTACCTTCGCTATCTTTTTATGCCATTTCTGTTTTCACTATCTTGCTTGAGCACTGGCATCTCACACTGCCTCATTGAAGTTGTAGGTCCGACCGCATGAACTGATTTATCTGCGTCTCAATAGATCTTACTTTCTCATCTATCCGGTATTCTGTTGACATTCTACTTATTCTGTCCCTGCCGGAGGATTTAATGCATACATTCGCCCTCATATTCCATTTGGAAAGTTCTCAGGGACTCATTTCAGGTAGCCCATTTCTTTCGCGCAGTTAACCTTTTCTCGGACTTCCAAAACAATCCCGATGTTTTTGCTTGGTGGTATCCTTCCTACTTGCAGATCGCTGTATTAGATGCTCGACAACCAATTTAAAGTTTCTTCTTTACCAATAAGCGTGTGGTGCTGGTCCGTTGCAAAATTGCTTTCTTTCGATAATGTAAACAAAACCGTTACGACTATACTAATACATCCACATCGTTTGATTCTGTCCTCTGTAACTGGCAGAATCAGTTCTACTCGTGTCTTCCAAGAGAAGTGGCGTCAATCATCATTTGTTGCAGCCTGAAATTAACTTGTGACGATTGCCGCGTTGAGTCAGGCCTTGGACTCAAATTCGAAGTATGACATTTGCAAGCTGAATACCCGGACCACTGCAGTACGGACCCTGTTCCCCTTGCATGTTCACAGTTGTTTACCATGCCTGTCTACTCATCCAGACTGCAGACTGTGCTATACCCCGGCTACCGTTCTGCACTGTACGTGTTTGCCTCTTCAGGATCAGCTCTCTATTTAACAATCAAGCCAAGTGTGAACAATTTCTAGACGGCATTCCCGAAGCGGCTTTCCATGATTGCTTAAAAATTTTCCGAATGAAGATGAACAAAACCTACCCTCATGAGAGAATGAGACCTCAGTAATCATCCTACAATATACGCAGTGCATTCATGCCCTTTGGGGCCTGCTGATGAACTGGCGATGGCATGTGATAAACCGTAGCTTCGGTCATCGGCGTCGGCCAGTTCGTGACCGTATTGTATATGCATTGAACAATCTATTTTTTTGGTCCGCCAGTTGGATCTGAGAGAAACGTTGCCACCCAATAAACTCTGATGGACTGCCATCGGCAGCATCGTAATTAACCAAGTCGACCGGATTTAATGACCTATTAAAGACATGATCATGTTTCTGTTATGTAAAGCCGGTTGACATGCTACCGTCTACCATCTGCATCGCGTGACCTTTGCCCACTGCACGTTTGGTGCATTGTCGCGTCTTGCTGTATCGATTTACCCGCGTCGCCTGCCATTACTTACAGGCATGATGCACACACATTCAAAGTGTGCAGATTCCCAGCTAATAATCACAGGCTGTCGGCCGGACATTTGGTGTGTGCTGTCATCTTTTTACGTTCTAGCCACTTTGTCTGTCTTACACTGTCAAAAGAGATAAACGAAGGTAACCTAGTGGACGCTGTGGGGGGAACCACCGGGTAACTTTTATTCCCTTCCTTTAAGCGACATGGCCCAAATTCGACTACTAAGAGGCAGATGTATACATCCAAGCTTTGTATTTTCTGTGTTGCTGGGGCACCTTCTTTTCTTTGGTTCTGCTACTCACAAGTACCAATTCGGCACCATTGATGCCTGACTATAACAATCAGCCATCATTATTCCCAACATAATCCTACCTCTCTTTTTATTGCATTCGATTTTACCGCGTTTGTTTTATTGCATACAGCAGCAAGATGAAATTTTGTGAAACAGATTGCAGTTGCGTTTTGGTGGCAATAAATGTGGGACCTGGTGTTTATACGGTAGCTAACTGCAAAGTGGTATGAACCGGTGATTTCGTTATCCACGCCACGTGAGGACCACCATGCCACAGACACTAAATTATCCTATGTGCATGCGCTCTCGAAAGAGATAAAAGTCACTTACATATTACCAGTCAACCCAACTTAGCTATTTTCATAGGCACCCACCCAGTACACCCAAGGTCAAGCTTTTAAAGTACCTAGTAGTAAGTGCTTTATGTGTAGATAGCATGTTTCTCGTTTAATCTCCAATTACTTACACGAATCCGAACCGGGTTGATGCGAAGTGGGAACTTTCTCATTCCCTAAAGTCTCCATTTCTCCTTCGATAGAGGCGGTCTTTTGCTTAATTGTCTAATCCTATTTGGAGGTACATGAATCGCACATAAAATCCTGAAGCGGTGTAGCTCAATCATTTCACTGAGATTCGTTATCCAAAGATACTTAAATTGTTTGCTTCTATATGTAATCGCCAGATGGCTGCATTATTTGTTGTTGGTTCAAATCAGCATAAATTTTTCCCTTTCGTTTAATTACCGGATCTTCTATCCGTAACAATTGGGTGCGAAGTCGTGCAATTTCAACCACCTGTTCGACCTTTATTATCTTCCCATATTGTCTCAAAGGTAGAGTTCTCGATGAACGTGTATGCGCAGCTTTTTTTTGATCATGCACTTCTTTTTTCCATCAAAATTCAGCAACTTCCGTCTCTGACTTTTTTAGCGGGATACAGCAACCACGCTGGGTGTCGGCTGTCGCTACTCAGGGTTTTACTCATGTTCGATCGACTCCTTTTATTTTCTATCTACTTTGCACTTACTTTTTGGATGTTATCGTCGAAATCAACTACCCGCTTTTATTGCGGCGGCTAATTTTATCGCTGCATTACTTCCACATTTACACAGCGACTACTGACTGATTGTACTGAGACTGATACGTGTACCATACTAGAAATACGTCGCTTGAAACCAGTTGCTGCATTTGCTGCTAGGGTTGCTTTTTGTGCTACACACGGACTTTATCGTCTTAATTTCTTTTCGCACCTGTTTCCCGTTGGTTGAATGTGTGACCCAGTTTGAGGGACATCTCTCTCTATTTGACCAAGTGTCCTTTGCTTTATCTTCAATCCTTTTAGCCACTTCGCCAAAACCTGAGCAGAATCGCTCGTAGTTCGGCATATGGTGATGCGAATTAGGGATGCTCACTTTCTCATGTGAGAAACAGGTGTTTGTTCCAGTAAGCAACCGTGTACGAATCGTTGTACTGTGATCCATTCCTCCAAGCCGCACTCTTGAGGAGCGTATCCGACTTTCATCCGATACCCATCTCCCTATGTGTGTGTGTAATTTCATTGCCTACATTTTACAAGCTTTACTTGCACCTGTTCACTTTGTGTTTTAGTCCCATTCATTTTGCTTCCATGAATTTTATTCAGAGAAAATTGATTTCATTATTCCCAGAACATAGTCCGTTATTTCGTTTGTATTTCTTGATGATTATGAACAATATTTTTTTAAACACCCCACAATATAAAATCCCGTGACCAATTGAACTCTTCTTTCCTGTAGATACCACTATTGCATCAGAGTGGGTACACATTGCTTGCTTTTACTCGGTGTAGACCATTGGAATCCGATTATGCGGGCGTATGTTCTGCACCTCAATGCACAAAGGCCGCCTCTCCTCTAGTTAAAGGAAAATACAATGGTTTCGATTCAGCTCAGTTACTTTCTTTCCTCTGAGAAGGATGTTGGACAGTTAGCTTCCAGTTCGCAGATGCTTTCGATGCAGTATATCCGTTTTGGAGCTACTAGATTTTCGAAACGGACCAGATGGTTGTTGAAACACGATCGACTCTGCCAATTCTGCTCTGTTTCTGTCCTCGTGCATGCTTCCGGTAACTGATTGGGAGAGTACCGCTCTCTACGTTTTGTCACGGATTCTCACAGTGAGTGTCACAAAATGATATGGGGATGGACAATCACGTTCTGTTTTAAGTGCTACGGGACCACAATTGGGAAAATTAGACTCATCTACTGATTGTAGTATGTCATTCATTAAAAAATTACTTCTCTTTCACTAAGACATTTACAGGTGAATAACTAGTGAATGCGAAACATTAAGGCAGCCAATTTTTGCCTTACTGTCTCCATAGTGTCGCGATACCTGCATAATTTTCATCCAGTACGTGTATTATTTTTATTGCAATACTATTTGTTTCTCCGAAGTATCTTATCTTTTCAATTAGACCGGAAATACATCGCTTTCGGAGTGAACCTTCAACCGATTTGTTGCAAAATAGTCTTCAAGCATCTCATGTGGCTTCTGCAACTGAATTATGCTAGCGTTTTCAGCAAAACGATGCTCTTTGTTGGCTGAGACGAATTGTGTATATATATCGTTTGTACAGCGTTGAACAATGAACAATGATTTATCACTGGTAAAAAAGCATGTGCTTGACAAGTCCCGTAAGGTGGTTGGAGTAAAAATTAATATTTGTAGGATCATTGAATAAGTAACTGATCATTTCAAGAGTCCACCGAGTTAAATGCACTACTGCATAACGATAGTTTGAAGTGAGAATGGGATGTGCACACGCAAAATATTATGCAGAGCTATTATAGTCCAATAACTGCGTGAGAAATGAAATAGGAATCGACAAGGCTCACTCGTTTGTTTCTTCATTTGACAGATGTGGTATGTTCATCCAGTTTAGCTACATCCAGGCTAATCACATGGACACTTCTGCATGTATCCTCACCGCCACGTTGCAGAGAGGGCCGTTAAGCACATGGTTAGGCTTGCTTTATTTCGTCCTCCATGTAGGATGGACTATATCAAGTAATGCAAGTTTGAAAGCGTTTCATCAAGGTGTTTTTTGAAAAGCGTTAATGTAGGGGCAAGGAGAACGTGAGTCGGAAGGGCATTCCAGGCGCGGGACAGATGGAGGGAGAAAACGTTGTGTCGACAATCAAGTCGACTGTAGTGCGCAGCCAGTTTGAGCTGATGGCCTCTCAGATTGGTATTTTGGCTCAGCTGCAACAGATTGCGACATGGGTGAGTTGAGTTCGTCAGTATTAACTAAACCATGATTAGGTCTCCTCACTGACGTCGATATTCACCACTGTACAATCTCAGGGACTGCAGTCTGCGTTGGTAGGAGTGATGAAACAATCCTCTAACGAGTTTGGTCGCTCTAAGTTGTGGAGCTTCAAGTGCATCGACGTTGCGCTTGCGCCAGGGACGCCTCACGTAGGCGTTCAGCATTTGCGGAAATATTGATTGCTCAAAATTGCCGAAAGCCATCCGTAAGATTCCGAGATGTTGACTGGCTCTTTTTGATACCTTTTCAGCCTGTCTCGAGCAACCAAGGTCGTCCTGCACGATCACCCCGAGGTCGTTTTCTTGGGAAGCACGTTGTAACTGTTGGTCCCCAAGTCGATATTCATAGCTAAGCTGATGGTGTATGTTTACGACTTTGCACTTGGTCACGTTGAACTGGAGCTGGTTGTCGGATGACCACGCATAAGCCCTGTCGAGATCGCTCTGCAATGCCATGTGATCATTCGATGTCCTGATGTCATGCCAAATTTTGACATCATCTGCAAATAGTACGAAGTTCGACTGTAATACACTGGCAAGATCGTTAATGCATGTTAGGTATAAGTTTTTCCCCAGTACCGATCCTTGTGGCACGCCACAATAGACGTCAATTTGGTCGGAAATGGAGCTGCGGACTCTCACATTCAGCTGACGTTGAGCGAGGTAGTTTCCAAACCAACCGAATATAGAGTCACCGATTCCATGGCTTCGAAGCTTATGAAAGAGAATGCGGTGCTACAAACGATTGAACGCTTTCGAAAAGTCCAGGTAGATAACGTCGACTCCCACCCTGGCATCGGCTGACTCTGTCCAGTTTGCTGGGGCTAGCAGCAAGTTTGAACTGCAGGATCGATTTCGGCGGAATCCGTGTTGCTGTGACACTGGGATGTTGTTGCTCTCAAGATATCCCATGAGCGCCTCTAGAATTATACGTTCCATTACTTTGAATAAAACTGAGAGGAGAGTGATTGGACAGTAGTTCGAGGGCTCCGAACAATTACCACGTTTGTAAATAGGAGTGACTACTCCATGTTTCCACATTGTCGGAACCTGCATTTCGTCGAGACAACGTTGAAAGAACCGAGCTAATGGTTCGGCTAGGTTCATGGCCGCTGTCTTCAAGGCCAGGTGAGCTGTGCACACGCAATGACATTAGCGCTTTCATCTCAGTGGCTGCGTGAACGATACGCGGTTTAACCCTGGTAATGATGGAAGCCATGTAAAAAGCTAATGAAATGATGATTCACTCCGAAAAATATGGATGAAGTGTTGGCGAATCACGTTGGCTGCATCTTGTGCGGTTTGTGCAAGACCATCTGTTGCATGTAAAACCGGGATCCCTCGCTGCACTCTGCGGAGCTTATTGACGTGTCTATACAGCATCTTGGGATTTGCACTGAATTTCGCCGCTAACTTCTCTTGGTGCTGGAGTTTGTCTTCGCGGAGCAACTTGACGCAGTGGTTTCGTTGAGTTGTGTAAGCACCCCAGGTCATATTACTTGGACAGACTTTGTAAACGCTCCAGGCTGAATCCCTTAAAGCCATGCATTTTCTAGTACGGCTCCTCAGGAACGAATTCACTTGCTTCGGGCGAAGGACCTTGCTTTCTGATGCATTGGCCACTAGCTCAGTGAATTGGGTGACGAACAACATCCAGGCGACGTCGGACGGCTTCTCGGCCAGGAAGGACCAGTCGGTTTCTTGAACTGATAAAATATCCCGGGAGTAGACATCAGAACAAATGTTAGCGAACAGGCTCGTTTTCAGTGGTTCCTCATCAGGCTAATACACCACAAATGAATCACATGAACGTACCCAGATTCAAAACCCAGATGGTCTGAATGACCAAGCTAGGTGATTGGCCCCACGGCGATCAACCGTGTGTTGCGTGTGTGGCGTTGTCTACACTATGCGTCCGTGTTACAGTGGACCAGGGTAGAGTTAGTGCATGGACACATTTCTTGTGCGCACATAGGTCAGGGTCATGAGGCCTGATGGCTATTGCCTCGGCCGCTGCCAGTAGACGACATTTAACCGCTCTTGTGTGGCATTTGGGTACGCGGTAGATGGGCTGGAATGCCTCATGCGCTCTGACCTGGTGGCTCGAGTCGATCAAGTGTGTAGACACTGCGCCGGATAAAAGAGCAGGGATTGTCATTATGCAGAAATCTGACTATATCGCTAAAATGAATGCCATCCTCAACGATCATTCGTAATTCCGGATGATGGAGAAAGAGAAAAACAAATCGGCCTCGAGAGAAAAGACAGTCATAAAGCTACTACGCTGCCTTAAGCAAAAGAATGCGATTGACTCAGTGGTTTTGAGTACACGCGTCCCTCTGGGACAGTGATTCCACGTCTTTATGGCTTACCGAAAGTGCATAAAGAAAGACTTCCATTGCGACCAATATTAGACATGTGTGATTCTCCATATCACTCAACAACGAAATAGCTCACTAAGCTTCTAGAACCGATAAGAAAAGTCCTATCCAAACACAGTCTCAAAGATACATTCAGGTTCGTAGACTCCATAAGCCATATGCAGTTAACCGGAAGGAAAATGTTCTCTAGATGTAGTGTCGCTCTTCACCAATGTTCCGCTGGAGGAGATGATAGACTACCTATGCGATTTTGTTCGATTGCACCATGTGGATGTCGGCGTCTCGAACGAGCGACTTAAACAGTTGCTTCTGATGTGTACGAGGAAGGTACAATTCCTGTTCAACGGGAAGATCTACAGACAGAAGGACGGAGTCGCAAGCGGTTTTCCGTTAGGATCATTATTAGTAGACGTATTTATGAGTACATTAGAGAATAGCTATCTAAATGGAGTTATTAACAAATTAGTCTACTGCTGACGGTATGTGGGCGATATATTCTGCATCTCGGGTAGCCATCTTTGCACGAAAGAATTAGTGAGGCAATTTAACTCAGCCCTCGCAAACATAAAATTCACCCTTGTACCTGAGTGCAACAACTCAATGTCGTACTTAGACGTTCAGATTAGCCGAAGATCTGACGGGTCTGTCCAAAGCAGTGTCCATAGGAAGAAAACGTGGAACGGGCAATATACACACTTTGCCAGCTTCGTTCCGCTCAGCCAGAAACGTAAACTTGTTCGGTGCCTAACCGAACGAGCAAGAAGGATATATAGCGAGGGCATGCTTTCGGACAAGCTACATTTTGTACGAAGCCTATTCGATAGAAATGGCTATCCGGAGAGGTTCGTTCGGAGAAACATGGAAGTGCGAGAAGCCAAAGCAAAAGTAGATTCAGTAGGAAAGAAACTGATCTACTTATGATTATTGTTCCAGGGGAACGGGATAGCCGAATCCACGTCTAGAAGGCTTTCTAACACCATCGCTCAAACGTACTATGCAGCAAGCCTACGGCTAAGCTTATACTCAGTGCCGACCCGGAATCAACAACTTAAGGACGGAATT